TCCACATCCATCGGACATGACAGGAACAAACGTGGACCTGGATGAAGAGACATGAGACTTACATTCAACTCTTGCAGAGTGAATTAGTGACACTTGGAATGGTCTGTTAATATTTGGTTTCAGTATAGCGGGTTATCTCCGTACCAATGGTCACATCAGAGGAGCTGTGGGCCTCCAGGAAGCGGTTGAGGTGGTGCCAGACCTGAGGGATCCAGTCTATGATCTTCACCAGCTCCAGGTTACGTGTTCGGCTGCCGATCTCTGTCTCAATCAGCTTCCTCCTCAGAAACCGGCCCAGGAAACCTTTTACTGGCTCCATGTGATTAGCACACAGCACCCATCTGGGATGGAAATCACACGTAGCTCATGTTAGAATTTAATAGAAATACATAAACAAAAAGGGAACTTATAAATATATATATATATATAATATAAATATATACATACACGCCACACACACACACTGTTCACTGAGATGTAAAGGACAATTAGAATCTTTTCATTGCTGTCAACAACAGCACAATGACGCCATCTTGAGGTCGCTCTATGGCAGTTTCCCCATTAAGGCCAAGGCATTGTTTTAGGGCTAATTCAAGACAAAACAGAGAGCAGTTTTGTACCTGAAGTTATGATGAAGTTGCAGGTTTGGAGCAGAAGATGTCGCCTGACTCATCGTGCCGATTATATACGGGCTGCAAATACAGAGAGACAAAATAAAACCATTAATTGTACACACATTTATTATTGCTGTGTTCATTAGTATGCTTTTGTTACACTGACTGTAGTGTGACATTATAGTGGGCACACAAACACTTTTTTTTTTATGTACTTGAATATACACTTTGTTCAAAAGGTTGGGGTTGGTAAGATTTTTAAGTGCTTTTGTAAGTCATTTGTGGCCACAAAATACAGTAAAAACAATACTATTTTGAAATATTATTACAATTGAAAATAATCTAATACATTTTAAAAAGTAATTGTAAAAATTACTTTTAATAAAAAAAGACATCAGTGACTGTGAAAAAGGTAGATTTTACTATAAAAGAGGGCAAATGTTACCTGTAAGCCTTCTCTCACAGCCTCCAGCATGTAGGGGATGATGGAGTAGTTCCACAGGTCAGTGAACCAAACGCCTTAAAATGATACATTTTCTCAGTTTAAACATTTGATATGTCATCTATGTTGTATTCTGAATAAAATATTGAAATTTGAAACTTCCACATCATTGCATTCTGTTTTTATTCACAATTTGTACAGTGTCCCAACTTTTTTGGAATCGGGTTTGTATATATATACACACACCTTGCTATGTGTACTGCGTTAGGCTAACCGAGACTTGTCATTTGCACTTATATATTATTGCTCTTTTGTTAGTTTTGACTGCTTTTATTGTCCTCATTTGTAAGTCGCTTTGGATAAAAGCGTCTGCTAAATGACTAAATGTAAATGTAAATATCCACTCATTTTTATCAAATAATCAGGATGGCTGCCTTATGTTATATGATAAACATAAACAGAGTCAAATAATTTGGATGTGTCTGGCTAAATCACACAAATCTGTCAAAAATATCCAGGATATATTTCACCCCTAAAATAATTATTGACAAATTATTTTCCCCTAGTATTTTTGATATTTTCATTACAATTAAGGATATTTCCTCCATTATAAGAAATTACTAGTAGCAATTATTTTCCCCCCATATTTTTTTATATTTTCATAACCGTTAAGTATATTTCCTCCATTATAAGAAATTGTCAGTAGCAATTATTTTCCCCCCATAATTTATGATATTTTCATAATTAAGGATATTTCCTCCATTACAAGAAATTACCAGTACTTAGCAATTATTTCCCCCCCATATTTTTGACATTTTCATAACAATTAAGGATATTTCCTCCATTATAAAAAATTGTCAGTAGCCTACTCTAACACAAACAAATCTTGTTCATTTATTTATTAAAACTGTACATATTTAAATTGTTAAATACATCTGTAAAGTAATATTGTTAGTGTCATTATGTTAGTGTATGTTGTACTGATTTCCTGCAGATTTGAATAAAAAAAAATACTGTGTATTTACAAAACCGACTTAAAGTATGCAAAATATTATTTTTCTTTCTTTCTTTCTAGAGACTTCGCAACAGATTAAGTACCCATAAAATACTTTTAATGAACCACTGTCTAATGCTTCTGAATGTAAACCATTCATCATCAACAAATTATTTCAGCAATGTATCTACCTACATTGGTTAAGGTTAATCTACCTTAAACAAGCGTCGTACAACCCCATCCAGAACATCCCACTTGGTTTTTCCACTGACACCAATGCAGCCAATCAGGAAGTCTCGAGTCCTGCAGTCCTGTGGGAGACAGAAGACACATCATTAAAACAAAACTCGCTCAAATGGGGCACTTTTAAAAATCCTCCTGCAAAAAAGGCGAGAGAACTGACCTCTTTCCACGTGACGTCCTCTTGAAGACTGACAACTATTTTTACATTTCTGCTCTCTTTACGAGAACTTCCGTCTCCACCAGAGTCATCCAACAACATGTCTAAAAGAAGACAGACTAGATCTGTAATGTGCTTTTATGATTCTTTTCTTGCATAAAGCGACAAAACTAATTTAGAGAAAAAAATAACACAAAAAATAGCATGTATGCTCCTACCGAAGCTGGTGGACTCTGTGAGGTTGAGGCTGTGTTGAGACAGGCCAGGTGTGGGGGTCGGGGTCGCGTTATAGACGGACACTTGAGAGGACGCCCTGCTCCCACTGGCTTGGCTTTCCAACTTAAGACGATCATTTTCCACCTTTAACTTCTCGATCTCCACCTATCAGACCACCCAGATAACGATAAAATATGTAACATTTCTCTTTTCTACTGAAAAATAGTGAAAAACACTGTTGCAAAAGGAAGCATCGGAAGATTTGTGGGACTGCAAGAAGGTAACGTGAAGGTCAGTCTCACACCTGCATGCGGTTCATAGCCTCCCGCAGCTGGTCCAGCTGGTGGGCGGAGCTTAGGGCTTCCAGTCGAATGTCCGTCAACTTCATCTCCTTCTCTCGCAGCTCGTTACGCAGCTGCATCACAGACTCCGCCTCCCCATCCAGACAGTCTGACAGTCTACATGACAACACACATGTTGTTCGATGAAAAGAGCACTTAGATGTTAACATCGCACAATATCCAGTCCTACTAAATCCAAATTTCCCAGTAATTTTGGTCTTTAGGTGTTGTTTTAGTATTACTAGCATTTTTATATTTCATATTATTTCAATTAGTTGCCTAGACAACATCTGTAATTTCATTTAAAGTTTTTAATCTGATCTTAATATTTTATTTCAGACTTACTTTAATTAACAAAAATGTTTTTCATAGTTTTAGTTAATAATCCTGGTCCATTATGAGGACCAGAGTTGTTATACAACACAAACACACTCACATTGAGCTGGAGTGTGTGTTGCGGAGCAGCAGTGCCGAGGTGCTGGTGCCGTTGTGAGGGAGTTTGGGAGAGGAAGGGAGAGAGGAATCCGTCATCTCCTCAATGTCTGAGTGGGACGAAGCTGATTTGGGTGATTTCTTCTTACTGAAGGCCTGTTTGAAGGAGCTCCGCAGCTGCAACGACAACAGAGAGAAGATCATGACGCTGAGAGTTTCTCCAAAAATGATGAGGCAGCACTTCAATATGTGTAAGAGAAGCAGTACAGTGCAGACAAGGGAGTAAAACAGCAAGGGAGACACAGCGTCAAATAAAAAGGCAGGGTTGAGCATCATTCATATCAAAGATTGAAGATAAAGCAGCCGTTTTATCAGTGTTTTTTATGTATAGATTTGAATGTGCTGAGCGTTTAAACTTTCATTTTAGTCATTTTGACAGTTATTTTAAACAGTGTTTACAATACAATAGCATTTATTGGGTGTATTCACACCTTTCTTGTGTGGTTCGATTGAATCGAACTCAAGTTCGTTTCCCCTCTTGGTGCGGACCTTTTTGGCAGGTGTGAATACAGCAATCGAACTGTTCTTGATATTTCAGTTCTTGATTATAAATTCCTCTTCTTTGAATTTTATGAAGTACTTGATTTTGAACTTTCTTATTGTGAGCAACTTCTGTTTCTAAATTCTTGATAATGATCATATTTGTTTAGATTTTTTTATTTTAAAGTTGATTTTGCATTGCTTGATTATCAACTTTTTGATTATTAATTACATTTAGATTTTCTGATTTTACATTTAATATAAACCTTTTGATTCTTTTGAAACCTTTGTTTAAAAAAAAAATAAAAATATATATATATGTATATATATATATATATATATATATATAATTTTGAACTTAATTATTATAATTGTGTTCTTTTTTATTTTACATTTATTGATAATAAACCTTGTGATTATGCACTTATTTTCATTATGAACTTTTTAATTTAGTTATTTTATTTAAAAACATCTTGATTCTGAACTTTATGAATGTTTATTTTTTATTTTATTTTAAACTTTTGCAACTATAGAAAAGGGGTTTGGAAGGACAGAGTAGGGGAGAGAAAGACAGCAGGCTGAGGAGAAGTACATCAGTACATCTAAGAGTTAGCAGGGTTAGTGGTGTGATGCGGAGTGAAGCTGGGTTAACCAAAGACAGGTGTGCAGGATTCTCTGAAGACACACTCTTACCTCATACACCTGCCATATGAAGCGACAGCACAGCGAAAAACAGAGAGACAGAAAAGCACGTTCAGCCGTGTGTGTTTGTGTCCTGCACAGGGGTCTGACCTAAGCACAAGCTGCAAGACGCTATAAATCACTGTCTACAATGACTACAACTAAATCTGCAGGAAGAACTACTAAGTTGAGAGAGTCGTGTTGAATTACAACACCATGTTTCACTTAAAGACAAACTTACCAAGACAAACCCCTCAGTGATTCGTCCACCAGGACAAATGCACACACAATAACACAAATCGACTGCAGGAATAGGGACCTACTTAAGCTAGTTACCATTCTCCAAAACACTAGATGACCAACTGGACTACCAGGCTAATATGACCTTTTTACACAACAGTAATGCACCTACAAAATTAAATAACCAATTTAAACACAACTGAAGTCAGTCTAAAAATATTTGTTAGCAGAAATAACAACACAAACTGGGATACTAAGCATTTAAAACTCAAATTGCTGGTGTCCACTACTGTTCAAAAATTTGAAAGAAGTCTCGTATGCTCACCAAGGCTGCATTTATTTGATCAAAAACACAGTAAAAACAGTAATACTGTGAAATATTGCAATTTAAAATAACTTGAATATATTTTAAAATGTAATTTATCCCTGTGATGGAAAGCTGCATTTTCAGCATCATTACTCCAGTCTTCAGTGTCACATGATCCTTCAGAAATCATTCTAATATGCTGATTTGCTGCAAAATATATATATATATTTTTGTCATTATCAATGTTGAAAACAGTTGTGCTGCTTAATATTTTTGTGGAAACCTAACACATTTTTACAAGTCCAAAGGAACAGCATTTATTCGAATTTGAATTTTTTTAGCATTTTAAATGTCTTTCATGTCACTTTTGATCAACGCATCCTTAATGGAATAGAATTATTACATTTTTACAAGTCCAAAGGAACAGCATTTATTCGAATTTGAATTTTTTAGCATTTTAAATGTCTTTCATGTCACTTTTGATCAACGCATCCTTAATGGAATAGAATTATTCATTTCTTTCAAAAAACAAGCAAGCTGACCTTAAGCTTTTGAACAGTAGTGTATATAAATCTACAAGGACTGCTAGCCTATGTTACACTTGTCTAAACATAAGAGGGTAACTATTGTCATTATTATTTAACATACATATTCATATTCATCATCTGACATGTCACCTCCAGCACAGGTCACCAGCTACAGTCAGCATGATACGGCAAAACACGATGAACAATATTAAACTCTATTGGTATGGTAAACTAACTTCCACTACAAAAAGGCAGGACCTTAAATGCTGAAAAGTATCAGCATTTAGTTTACTATCACACTAGATGTTTGTTAGTAGTATTTATTTATATTTAAAGTTTTGGCAACTTCAGACAAAACCATAAAAGACAAATGTTAGACACAAATAAAATGCGGAATGAAGAAACACAGGTTAGCAATGGTTGAATATTTCTTTAAAGTGATAGTTCACCCAAAAGTGACCGTTCTTTCATTTACTCAGCCTCAAATAGTTCCAAACCTGTATGAGTATCTTTCTTCTGTTGAACATAAAAGAAGATGTTTTGAACAATATGGGTAACCAAACTCTTGATGGTCCCCATTGACTTCTATAGTACAGTTGAGGACTGGAAACTGCTCAGTAATCAACATTCTTTAAATTATGTATTCAGCACAAGAAAGAAACTCATATAGGTTTGGAACAATTTAAGGGTGAGTAAATAATGAAAAAATTGTCATTTTTGGGTGAACCATCTTTTTTATTATTATTTAAATGTTGTGTACTCACCCAGTTCTTCTTCTTCTTCTTGCTGCTGGAGTCGGTGTTGTCCATGTTGGAGCCCAGGCTGGAGTGGCTGGTGGCGCTGGTGATGCTGGAGACGCTGTCAGATGAGTGCTGTCTGCGCATGCGCAGGTCCGGCTGCGCTCCGGGGGCTGAACTATTATTACCTGAAGAACAGAGAGAGATTTTGGTTGACTTCAAGTGTGCCATTTAGTGTTCAAACAGCAAAACTAAACAATACTGTATAATACATCAGAACACAACAATGTCTGAAAAGTATATACAGAATGCTCAAAATACATAATTTTATGTATTTATTCACGTCAAAGGAAAAGATAGATAACAAGAAGTTTGAAATCAAACGTCAGAGATTTCAAATATGAAGTCAAACTGAAAAAAAGTCTTGATTTATTGATTATTTTCTTTTGCTCACCTGTGCGTTCACTCTTGCAGGTTCATTTTATGGAGGACCGTTTCTTGATCCTGGGAGAGTAGGATGACTCACATACTGTAAGTACGTTTTTTTATATTTAAAGAGTTTTTATATTTTATATTTTTTATATTTAAAGCGAGTTTTTTGGCCAGTGTAGAGTAGGGCTTGTTGTTTGTCAGAAATGCAGACATGGTTTTATGTTTATGCGGCACAATGAGATGCAACGCAACAAGAAAAAGACAGTATAAGTCATTATAATCCATAATTATGTCCCCACTGGATGCAATGAATGCCTCGTTTATAATGGGTTTTCATGTTTTTGAATCATCACTCCGGCCTGACAGGGCATCATCACAGTATGGTAAGGGGCTTAACATTTCCGTCACATGCTTGAGGTATTCGGCCAATCATAACGCACTGGATAGCTGGCCAATCAGAGCACACCTCGCTTTTCAGAACGATGAGCTTTGTAAAAATCGACGCGTTTCGGAAAGGCGGGGCATAGAGGAGAAATAATAATGTACAGTATGTGGAAAATAATGTGTTTTTTGAACCTTAAACCGCATAAACACATTTCATTACACCAAATACACAAAATAATTTCTTTTTAGCAGCATCATATGACCCCTTTAAATTAAATGTCTAAGCAAAGCTTTTTCCTTGAGATGATAAGAGCAGTTACAAATGCACTCATTCAAAGCTGCATGAACTGTGTGGGAGATGCCTGCTTATTGAAACATTCAACAGAAGCAGACAAGATTACATTTTTTTTCCCAACAGTCCATTTCTCTGTTCTGACTCAAATTTTTCTGTGTAGTCTCGCACTATATTATAATTTAGTCTAGTATGTTTTATAAATACACAGTGGCCCCCAATAGTATTTATTTTTCATAATTGTGATTTGAGTGATTTAATAAGTGATTTAATGATTAATATCACAATAAATAAAGTGATTTAATATCTCCCAATAGGACTTTTATCTGACAGTTGTGACTTTATTTCTCTAAATTGTAAATGTATTTCACACAGTTGTGACATTCATCTCACAACAAGTATGATTTTTTGTTATGCAGCTTTTTTTCTCATAGTTGCAAATTGTATACCTCATTCAAAGCTGCATGAAATGCATGACCCATGGAGCTGCCTGGTTATTGAAACTGGTTACTGAAGCAGCAAAGCTTAAACTTACTAAACACAAACACTTAGATGTGCAATCTAAACTTTGACCTGCATGCGACAACACAAACTTAATTTACCCTTTCGTTACGGTTCACCTTTCCTTCTAAATCTAATCTTCCCCTTAAGAATGAAAACAATTACAAATGATCGCTTAAATACATTTGAAGAGTTTCAACTGTTTCTCCCAGACCACAATGACAATAAATGGAGATCAAACAGAGACTTTTTCTCAAGTCTATTAATTTTCAGACAACCTGAATATTTACACATGCATCCTCTAAAATTTCAAGTGATCTCAACAACGTCTTAAATTGTGCTCAGATAACAAAGTTGAAAATAAGAAGAGATTTTAAATATAAACTCAAACATTTCCTATCAAATTCTTGACCACATTTTTAATACCAAAAATTGTCTCATTCATTTCCATTTTATTTGTCATGAGATATTTCAAAGAACATATGAGAGTCAAAGTTAAAACTTTCCAAGCTAATATTCCTAAACTATGGAAAAGCAACCACTAAGCATACAATTTTCTTCGGGGTCATCGCCTCACCTCACGTCCAAGAGGGTCTTGGGAGCTGTCATTTGTCTCCGTAAAGCCTTCCTGTCTATATTTTTCTTTCTGAGAGGGAGTGTGTTTCTCTGGGCACCCATGGGAAGGGTAGCAGTTCAAAGGGAGCCAGATCAGAGGGCCAGTCCCGTCAGAATAAACATCACTAAAGCTCTTCTGCTGTTCCATAGATAGCTCAGTTTATGATAACGAAACTACAGCAATATATTAAGAAGCAGTGAAGCTCCTCCTAACACTGATAACTCCTGGGGCCTTGACATGTTTCACTGGCGTCTCAAGGGCCCTTTTTTTATTCAAGGGCCCATTATTTTTCTTTCTGTTTGGATATTTCTCACTGTTCTGTAGCTGTAGTGTTTTGTCTGCATAGCAAACATAATCATTAAACCGAAACAATGTTCTATATATGTCTTACATGTATAAATAATCCTTCACCTCATTCCATGCCAGTCAAAAATTTACACTGATCTCAACAAGTTGACAAGTTCATGGTGTACTACGTTATGTCAGAAACCATTACGCACAAGCTTTAAATGGAAGAAATAAACAATGCAGTAAAAAGAGAAAATCTTGTCTTTTTAGTGCACATTTAAACTCATTTAAAAGCCAGTCCCGTCAGAATAAACATCACTAAAGCTCTTCTGCTGTTCCATAGATAGCTCAGATTATGATAACGAAACTACAGCAATATATTAAGAAGCAGTGAAGCTCCTCCTAACACTGATAACTCCTGGGGCCTTGACATGTTTCACTGGCGTCTCAAGGGCCCTTTTTTTATTCAAGGGCCCATTATTTTTCTTTCTGTTTGGATATTTCTCACTGTTCTGTAGCTGTAGTGTTTTGTCTGCATAGCAAACATAATCATTAAACCGAAACAATGTTCTATATATGTCTTACATGTATAAATAATCCTTCACCTCATTCCATGCCAGTCAAAAATTTACACTGATCTCAACAAGTTGACAAGTTCATGGTGTACTACGTTATGTCAGAAACCATTACGCACAAGCTTTAAATGGAAGAAATAAACAATGCAGTAAAAAGAGAAAATCTTGTCTTTTTAGTGCACATTTAAACTCCTCTTTTGTTAGTACCTCTAAAAAAATCTTGTCTAGTTTGTACTTACAAGACAGGATTCCTTTGCCTTAGGCATAAGAGACATGTCTTTGTGACTTACACATACATTTATCTTTAGGAGAACATATCAAAAACACTGAACTTGGTCTGTACTCCCCTTTGTCTATAGCCATAAATCATCAAATCAAACATCACACACAGCCCATTTCTCTGGTGGAAATGGCGTGGATCTGTTCTGACTTGAATTCTGCATAGTCTCGCAGTATATTATAATTTAGTCTAGTACGTTATATTTGATAAAAACACAGTGGCCCCCAGTAGTACTTATTTTTTACAACTATGACTTTATATCTCACAGTTGTGACTTTAGTTCTCAAAATTGTGACTTTTTCTGTTGTATGTTACTTCTTTCTCATAATTGTGTATTTTATACCTCCAAATTTCTACTATTTTTCACAAATGTAATTTTATATCTTACATTAGTGACTTTTATACCCCAAAATTCTGACTATAGTATTTCTAATAAATGTTGTACCTCATGAATGTTAACTCAAACAATATAATTTTATACATCACAACAATGATTTCTTCTGATAACTGTGATTTTTAAACTATACCTCAAAAATTCTCACAAATGTAATTTAATCTCACAAAATGACTTAAACAATAAGATCTAATGAACCTCTTTGCATAATTGTGAAGTTTATACCTCAAAATTGTTCCAATTTTATATCTTAAAGTTTGACTACTTTTCTGATAACTTTTATATCTAAAATTGTGAACATTTCTCACAATTATAATTTCATATCTCACAATATAACATTATATTTCACAGTTGTCCCAATTATTTCAACTTTATACCTCAAAATTGGGACAATTTTTTTTGCAAATGCTACCCATTTGAATTCTAACTGTTCATTGTGAATTTATTTCCCGTCTTATATAGTAGAGTGATCTCTAAAAACAGGTTTAATTTTTTTTAACTACTGTACATGGGTAAGTGCATGTTAAGTGTAGGAAAATGTTTTACAATAGCCAGTGTTGCTTAAGACGTAGTGCTATTGTATGATAATATAACGACAAATGGAAACTCCAATGAGGTCACGATCAACGCTGACATTAATCAAATACACAACCCACACATGCGTCACTGGGATTACGATAACACCATTTATAAGATGCCTCAGGATGACAACTGACTCTAGATACTGAATTGTGAATTAATTATGCCCTGTAGATATAATAAAAGAATAAAGAGCAGTCTCAGAACTATGTATCTGTGTCCACCTACATTGGCACTGAGTTGCGTTGTCAGGGCGGACACCTTTTCCTGGGAGGCGTCCAGTTCTCGACGCAGCTTGCGGATCTGGAGAAAAAATGCAGAAGAGAAACGGGTTGAAAAGAGGAAGACAAAACACAGATCAAAAGAAGAGGAAAAGGAGGCACACACAAGGGATCCAGGTGTGTCGTGGAAAGAGAACTTTGTGATTTGGTATCAAAGAGAAGGGGAATCAGTTTGCAGGTGTATGTACTGAATACAGGTATGTTGCACAGGTGGATGTAAAGATCACAGAGATCACAGAGCCGACCGTGAATCCGCCCACAGTTTGTGTTCACAACAGGTCAATGGTGGTGAATAAACACGCTACAGGTGACGGCAATGCGGTTCACAGGTATGTGGGGGGCCGCGTGTGTGTTGTTTTTGCGAAAGGACAAACACGTCCTCACCTCTGAATGTGATTTCTCCTCCGTCTGTTAAAATAAAAAGACAGAGTAGTTACTGGCACTTTTAAACGGCGTATTTGCTCAGCTTTTCTTGTTTAACAGTTGAAAAATGAGCTGCTTTATCTCCTGAGGGTTTAAAATGAACACCAGAGAGAGCAACACACACCTGAAAGTGAACAGAATGATAACCCTAAAGCTCTAAAGAGGGACTTTTCCTTTTCCTGTGATTTATGAGCTCATCTCTACTGGTACACTAGCAGACAAATGGGAAGTTGGACACATTTGAATATGACTGAGTGTTGGTAGTAACGCTAAAGTTGGTAACTAGACAATGGGAAGCACCCAGAAGCTCTTTAATGATATCGACACAAACACATACGTAAAAAGCTTAGTTTAAATACACAGGTGTGAGAGCACTAGTAAAAATGATTCTTTAAAAAAAAAAACACAATAGTTTATTTTATTTTACAATATATTATGAGTATAATAATCTGAGTGAAAAACAGAATAAAAAAAATACAGTTTGTGTAATTACAGATTCAGTGGAACAAAGAACATCTGACCTTTTGCACAAAAAAGTCAAAATTGTCACAAAGTGATCTAGAAATAATGTCCAACATTAAATACTTCTGATTCATATTACTGTACATCATAACATTTCTTCGCTCTACATTTTTCAAAATCGTAGAACTTGTTTATTTCCAGATTTTAAATCTAGATTTTGAAATCTTCAGGTGAATGAACAAATGTCTGCTCTAGACAACAATAGCATACTAGGGCTCTTTGTATGTCACCTGGCAAACACGCATGCAATGACACCCACTCTAATGATTTTCTTTACTGTTGACACCTATCCGACAGCTAGACTGACAGTGATATTAAAATAGCAGCATTGTCTGTCCGTCACGGCATCATATGACATGAGGGACAACCCCAGCGGCATCTAGCTGGTTTCGGTTTAATCAAATCTGGCTTTTTGTAAATGTGTTTGATCATACAGACTCAACATGGTGATTTTGTCAATGCAACTCTGACCAGAAGAGCTTTGTTTGAAATCTCTGAGCTTTTGTTGTCTCTGAGACCAAAGATTACCATGCTATTATATCTGGCTTTTGATGAACGTTCAGTACTCTGTTGTACAGAATGAACCTGTACTTTTAAAAGCACCACAGAGTATTTCATGTTTGTGTCTAAGAGACCTTATGTTTCTGCATGACAGCTGTTTCCCACATACACAAACAAACCCACTTTACAGCCTCCAACTTCAGACAAATAACTTCAGACAGACTGTAGAGTCAATTCTCTGCTTAGTTAAGTCCAACAAGATACACTTTTCAAGTCACTACAGATTTGATTTACTGGTACATAACTAAGAATGAATGAATTGTAATAATATGTCACATAAATATATAAATATAGAATAGGAGCAATCTAAAAACGAAGATTCCTACCGTGTATCCCCAAGAAGTCACAGCTCTCCCCATAGAAAGAGTCGCCATCATCATGATTTTCCACTCTTTATACTTCAGTAAATCTGATCCTTTCTAAACAAATCTCTACTACCTAAGTATGTAACCAACTACCTCCTCTCTTCCTGAAGTCAACCTCATTTGAACTGAAGACTCACTGCACGTGTGCCAGAGTGAGACTGTTGTTAAAACACCTCTGCAGGTAAGTAGAGCCGCCCATCTGGAGGTGTGGCACATTCCAATTTATCAATTTTCCTATATAATCACTGGCTGAAACCTAATCACTGAAATCTATCTATCTATCTATCTATCCCATGTTAACTGTACAACAATTTGGTGTTCCGATTATATGATTTGGATTTTTAATAAATGTTTATGTTTATTATGGAAGAGTTTGTACGAAACAAAGTAAGTTAGAAAGTAAAAATAAAAATTTAAAACACACACACACACAAAAAACTCACCGTTGAATAGACAGAAGAGGTGCTGGACACCAGTGAGAGGGATGTTCCATGAACTAAAGGGAGAATAA